TACATCACCGTTTCTTTGTTAGACGGGGTTTCTATGGTCATTACACTTCCTCTATCACCAGTATACCCACTACTGTCGGGACTTTGATGCTATTATATCTATCCGCTTCAGTTATTTGTTGGAATATAGTTACTACTCTTATTGAGGATACAACCTATGGAATAATAAGTCTTGGGTCTCATCATGGTCATCTGAGCCATTTACATCTATACCTATTGGTCTTTTGATTCATATTTGATTCCACATATCATTATCTACAGGACAGTGACTGTCTTTTTTTTTTGATTATTTTTTTTTTGGCCTATACTGGGCTCCTATAACTATACCAGAATACCATATTGCAATACAAGATTACTATATAGAGCCATGTACACTCCTATTCCAGGCTGGTCAACGGGCCCTAATTCCATTTCCAAGTTATAAGTAATAGGATATTGAATGCCTTTCATCTTGCTCTGAAGGCCCTATACGGGCAGTACTATTACAATACTTGACGGGACTGTCATTCATGCTCACTAATACAGGGCTTGCACATTCCTGCATAAGACTGATCAACGGGCCATAATTCCTTCTGCAAGTCAGATGTAACAGGATATTGACTACCTCTCAGTTTGCCCTGAAGGCCCTATATGGGCGGTATTATTGCAATACCTGATGGGACTTTCATACTACAATATATTGCTATATGGTACCATTATCTATGCCCACTTCAACAAGGCCTATGCTTTTTCCATGTGCTTTAAGCAATATATACATATGTATGTGTGTGTGTGTATGTATGTATGTGTGTATATATATATATATATATATATATATACACACAAATACATACACAGTGAGGAACAGAAGTATTTGAACACCCTGCGATTTTGCAAGTTCTCCCACTTAGAAATCATGGAGGGGTCTGAAATTCACATTGTAGTAAATTCCCTCTCTGAGAGACAGAATTTAAGAAAAAAAAATCCAGGAAATCGCATTGTGTGATTTTTAAAGAATTTATTTGTCTTGCACTGCTGAACAGAAGTATTTGAACACCTGAGAAAATCAGTGTTAATATTTGGTACAGAAGCCTTTGTTAGCAATTACAGAGGTCAACCGTTTTCTGTAGTTCTTGACCAGGTTTGCACACACTGCAACAGGGATTTAGGCCCACTCCTCCACATAGATCTCCTCTAGATCTGTCAGGTTTCGGGGCTGTCGCTGAGCAACACGGAGTTTCAGCTCCCTCCAAAGATGTTCTATTGGATTTAGGTCTGTAGACTGGCTAGGCCACTCCAGAACCTTGATATGTTTCTTACGGAGCAACTCCTTGGTTATCCTGGCTGTGTGCTTCGGGTCGTTGTCATGTTGGAAGACCCAGCCACGACCCATCTTCAATGCTTTGACTGAGGGAAGGAGGTTGTTGCTCAAAATCTCACAATAAATGGCCCCATTCATCCTCTCCTTAATACAGTGCAGTCGTCCTGTCCCCTTCACAGAAAAGCACCCCCAAAGCATGATGTTACCACCCCCATGCTTCACAGTAGGGATGGTGTTCTTGGGATGCAACTCATCCTTCTTTTTCCTCCAAACACGACGAGTGAAGTTTCGATCAAAAAGTTCTACTTTGGTCTCATCTGACCACATGAATTTCTCCCATGCCTCCTCTGGATCATCCAGATGGTCATTGGCAAACTTCAGACGGGCCTAGACATGTGATGACTTGAGCAGGGGAACCTTCCATGCAATGCATGATTTGAAACTACCGACAGTGACCTTTGAAACTGTGGCCCAGCTCTCTTTATGTCATTTACCAGCTCCTCACTTGTAGTTCTGGGCTGATTCCTCACCTTTCTTATCATCAGTGATACCCCATGAGGTGAGATTTTGCATGGAGCCCCAGTCCGAGGGAGACTGACAGTTGTCTTTAGCCTCTTCCATTTTCTAACAATTGCTCCAACAGTTGATCTATTTTCACCAAGTTGCTTGGAAATTGCCCCATAGCCCTTTCCAGCCTTGTGGAGGTCCACAATTTTGTCTCTGGTGTCTTTTAAAAGCTCTTTGGTCTTGCCCATGGTAGTAGTTGGTGTCTGACTGACTGTGGGGTGGACAGGTGTCTTTAAAGAGCTCAGACAGGTGCTACTAAGTTAGATTAATGAGTGGAGTAGAGGTGGACTTTTTAAAAAGCACAGTAACAGGTCTTTGAGAGCCAGAATTCTTGCTGTTTCTTAGGTGTTCAAATACTTATGTTCAGCAGTGCAAGACAAATAAATTCTTTAAAAATCATACAATGTGATTTCCTGAATTTTTTTTTAATTCTGTCTCTCAGAGTGGGAGTGCACCTACAATGTGAATTTCAGACCCCTCCATGACTTCTAAGTGGGAGAACTTGCAAAATCGCAGGGTGTTCAAATACTTCTGTTCCTTACTGTATATACAGTATATATGGGCTCATACTGGGGACATCATCAGCTGTGATTTCTTGATGATCTCTGATACCTGTTGGTGATTTTGATATGATGTGATATTCTTATTAGTCTTTTTCATGATATGTCAGCAAATTTGACTATATATGACTATGCTTGTATGACCCCTTGGTATTTGACATGCTATTTGGCATCTCTGCTTTTTGCATGGCGAGTGCATGTGGATGTGTGGTTTGACTGGGATTCCGGTATGGGTGTTTTATTTTATGGCAACGTTGTCATTGTTTTTACAAGTATCAGATGGAGGGTGCTCTAACTGTATGTAATTTGTTATTACAATGTCAATAAAGATGATGTTTTAGCCGCAGATTGTTCTCCTGAGGACCTCTTTTTTTTCAGTGGGACTATACCCACTGGTATCTTTTCTATTACATGTCCTGAGAGCACCACCTTCCAATTTTGGGTGAGTCGGCATCATCTATAAATTTATTGTCCATAAAAATCTTTTTGTGCTTGGGGATCCTGATTTTAGTTGCTTTTTGTGATAACCGATTCTTCACATGGCCGTGTTCTCTGCTGTCATAGCGAGGCATAGATATGCGAGTATAATGTGTTTTATGCATTTCAGTGACAATACACTCTGTCTTCTTTGGGGTGACCCTGAATTTTACCTGCTCCACAAAATTCAGCCCCTCGTAAATCACCTTAACCAAAAATTTGCAGATGTCTATACTCCCCAGCAAAAAAAATCTGTTTTGATGAGTCATTAATTTTTCTGGCCGCCTTGCATTCAAACAATTTCTCCCCAGCAAGCGTTCCAGATATGGGGTCAAGGTGTATAAGACCTGTGAGAGGGAAACAGGCTATACATATAAGTTTTGGATTTATGAGGAAAAAGATAGTCACGTGTAGCCCCCCCCCCCTGGATGCCCAGACTACATAGGGAGCAGTGGCAAGATAGTTTGGGACTTGGTGTCATCCTTTTTCCACATGGGGTACCACTTATACGTGGACAATTTTTATTCAAGCGTGCCACTATTTACACATTTGTACAATCTTGGAACTGGCGCATGTGCACCGTGCAATCTAATGTGTGCCCACCATTAGAAGTGGGTGGATGCAGGGCGGTATATTCTAATGGTGGGCATACCACACACTTTTTCTGGCACAGATTTCTTCTCTTTTTTTCCATTCAGTCCACAGGCTGCTTACAAAAAAAAAAAAACATAGCATATACACCCAACAAGGACCAGCGACGTATTGGGACATCCCTGGTTATACCAGGATGATGCCTACAGCTTCAGACATCATCCTGGTATCATTTTTTCCAGCCGGCAATCGGCTTTCATGTAAAAGCAATTCTAGTGGTTGATTAGTGTAAAATATATAGACACAGCGCCAATAAATTATATATAAAGCTGAAAACCTATTCAAGGAAAAGGTAAGTGACAAAAAATATATAAAGGAATGCGCTAAATACCAAATCACATGAAAATGCAGATAAATACATAAATAAAATAAAAAATATATGTATAAATGTCCGTAATTCATATATAAGTCCAAACACCAAAATAAGTGATTAAAAAATCTCTTAAACAAGAAAAAACACTGTGTAGCAAAATCCAGCACCAAATGAAATGGGTAAACTCACCAGAGCCATTTGCTGATCAAATTATAAATCAGCAAAAATAGCAATTGCTCTGGGAGTGATGATCTGTTGGAGTATTCAGGAGCAATAGACTGCAATCAGCCAAATCAGCACACATGGAACGGCCTTAACTGCACGTGGTCATCATGCCTTCATAACTTTGCACCATGATACTCTTCTTTGATTCCCCGAGCATTTCCAGTGTATTAAAACAAGGATAATTTTTATTGTAGCCTTAAATATGCACTCACAAGAAAGGCATCCAACCGACACCAGCAATAACAGCAATATCAGTCTCAAAAAGCTAAAGCAGGGACGAGCCTCGCTCACTGCGATCACAGTGCCCCTTGGCGCCCCTTGAAGACGTCGGATGACGAAACGTGCAGGGAAGGGCTTAGTGGATGGGACGTTAGGACGCTCCTCGAGACTGTCGGCTGTGAACACGGTGAGCGAGGCTCGTCCCTGCTTTAGCTTTTTGAGACTGATATTGCTGTTATTGCCGGTGTCGGTTGGACACCTTTCTTGTGAGTGCATATTTAAGGCTACAATAAAAATTATCTTTGTTTTAATATACTGCACCATGATACTCTTCTTTGTTTCCCTGAGCATTTCCAAAGTTATGAAGGCATGATGACCACTGAGGCAACACCATTTAACCCCTAGCCTACAGGGCACTTATACCCACTTCACCCCCCCCCCCCCCCAGGCCAATTTTCAGTTTTCAGCGCTGTCACACTTTGAATGACAATTGCGCGGTTATGCAATACTGTACCCGTATGAAATAGGCGGCACTGATGGGCATTGACAGGCATCACTGATGGGCACTAAAAGGCAGCTCTGATACATGGCACTGATATAGGGCACTGATACGTGGCACTGATATATGGCACTGTTAGGTGGCACTGACTGGCACTGTTAGGTGGCACTGATGCGCACTGATAGGCGGCACTGATGCGCACTGATAGGTGGCACTGACTGGCAGCACTGATGGATGACACTGATGGGCATTGACAGGCATCACTGATGGGCACTGAAAGGCGGCACTGATAGGCACTAATAGGTGGCACTGATTGGCATTGATAGGTGGCACTGATGGGTGACACTGAAAGGCAGCTCAGATGGGCACTGATATGTGGCATTGATGGACACTGACAGCTGGCACTGCTGGGGCTATACTGATCATCAGGGCACACTGATCATCAGTGCCCTAATGATCAGTGTACATGTCCCCTCCGTGGAAAGCCGATTACCGGCTCTCCTCTCCTCTGTCAGCGTGACAGCTCGAGAGGAGAGAAATGCCAATAACCGGCATTTCCCTGTTTACATGTGATCAGCTGTGATTGGACACAGCTGATCACATGACCGAGCCGACATCTTCGGCTCTTTCCTTGATCGGTGATCCAGTGTGTCCAAGGGCCACAGCGCATCGCCGCGCATGCGCGGAGAATGGGATGACGCCATATGAGCCAAGTGATGTATTCTATTAATGAATACAGAGCCTGCTCGGATTGGCTGCGTCAGAGAGGCGGGCTGATGATGTCACAACTTCAGGCAATCTGAGCAGGCTCTGTATTCATTAATAGAATACATCGCTCGCCGTGATTGGCTCAGCGCGGTACACTGTATGTAGCTGAAGCTACCGTACAGTATTACCGCACATCCAGCGGTTCTATACCCGGCGTATGTTTTTAAGTAAAAAAAGTTTTCTTATACGCCGGAAAATACGGTATATTTTTTTTATTTTATTTATGTGTTTATCTGCATTTTCATGTGATTTGGTATTTAGCGCATTCCTTTATATATTTTTTAGAGGCTGATTAGCTGCAGGATTGCTTTTACAAGCAGCAAGCAGCGGGAGATGATGCCCACCTCCCCCGCTGGCTTCCAAGGCCTTCTCGGGCAGTCCCGTGCCATCGGGGGAACCTGAGACTGCAGCCGGTGTTTCTGCCAGCTGACCATAGAGCTGATTGGAGTCCAGAATGGTGCCAATCATCTCTATAGTCTAAGAAATCAGAAGCTACGAGCATTTCATCACTTCAGTTTCGCAGGATATAAAACCGCGCTACTTATAAATTGGGAAAGCATCTGATCATTTCGATCTTGGTTTGATTAGATAATGTAATGGCAGAGGAGATATCCAGAGTCTGATAGACCCCAGATTTCACAAAAAAGAATATATGACAATGCCCATTTGAAGTTATAGGGGATATTTGCATTCCCTGTTATAGTATTAAAAGTGATAAAAAAAATGAAAGGGACAGTGTAAAAATAACTAAAAAGGAAAAAGCAGCCTCACCCCCCCCCCCCACGCACGCACACCTGTGTGCGAGCGTTGACCCTGTGCCGGTGGTCTCACCATGCATGTGAGGTATCGCCGTGAATGTCAGATCAAGGGCAGTAATTCTAACACTAGACTTCCTCTGTAAATCTAAAATGGTAGCTTGTAAAGGCTTTTAAAATGTTGCCTATGGATATTAAAAACGTATGCAGTTTGTCGTCATTGCACGGGGCATGCGCAGTTTTAAATCATGTCATGTTTGGTATCTATTTACTCGGCATACCATCATCGTTTATATTCTACCAAATAATTGTCCAATATATTTTTGTGCATTAATAGTAAAAAAGGTGTATTTTTTTTTTGCTTTTGAAAAATTTGCTTTGAAAAATCGCTGCGCGAGTACATTGTGACATAAATTGTAGCACACACCATTTCATTCTCTAGGTTGTCTGCTTTAAAAAAAAATATATAATGCTTGGGGGTTTAAATTAATTTCCTAGCAAAAAATTCAGATTTTTTTTTTCATGTGAACAAAAAGGCCCTGATTTACTAAGAATAGAGTCCAACCAGCAGACGCTGAAGATTCAGGCTAACTCAATTCAATCAATTAAGACCTTTCAGTGTTCATAAAAGCGTCTAGCAAGCTGATTGGAAAGAGTCTACCTTATAGACACATTTTTCTTCATAAATTCGAAAGCAGCTTAACCACTTCCATACCAGGCATTTTACTCCCTTCCTGCCCAGGCCATTTTTCAGGTTTCAGCGTTCTCACACTTTGAATGACAATTGCGCGCGGTCATACAACATTGTACGCAAACTAAAATTTTATCATTTTCTTCACACAACTAGAGCTTTCTTTTGGGGGTATTTAATCACCGCCGGGGTTTTTTTATTTTTTGCTAAATTTTAAAAAAAAGACTAAAAATTTTGAAAAATAAAACACATTTTTCTTTGCTTCTGTTATAAAAGTTTGCAAATAAATAATTGTTCTTCATAAATTTAGGTCAAGATGTATTCTACTACATGTCTTTGGTGAAAATAACCCGAATTAGGATGTTTTTTTTTAGTTTGTAGGAAAGTTATAGAGTTCACAAACTATGGTATAGATCTGAATATTGATCAATCCTGAAGTACTGACAGTCAATCTAATTTCTTGAGGTCCAAGAATGTCAGAACAGTACAGCTATCCCCCAAATGATCCCTTTTTGCAAAGTAGACAGCCCGACGTACTTCATAAGAGGAATGGCGAGTTTTTTGAAGTCGTATTTTTTTGTCATAATTTTTCGGAAAATTAAAAAAAAAAAAATATTTTCACTATTTTTTTTTACATACTGTCACCAGTGCAGTACAGTATCATCATATAACTGGCATGGTTGTGATCAGGGACACTACTGGTGACAGTATGAAAAAAAAAAAAAAATTTTTTTTTTTTTATTTTTTTTTTTAATTTTTTTATTTTTTATTACTTTTCTTTTTTTTAAGATTTTTTTTCATATTTCACTATGACCAAAGTAGTACAATGTTACCATAGTAACATTGTACTACTTTGGGGAAGTGATCAGTAATTTATTTATTTATTTTTTTTTTACACAATTTGCTTATAGCAAATAATTACTTTGCTATAAGCAAGCATTTACCTGAATGACATCGATTCGTTAAGGGTTTTTTTTTTTTTGTGCTTAGCTGTGATTTGGCCACAGCTAATCACATGACATGTGCATGTGATCGCTGTGACCATTCACAGCTAGACACTAGTATACAGTGGATGGCATGAATGAAGCCATCCATTGTATACAACTGTCATGTGACCTGCCGTGATTGGTCACAGCAGGTCACATGGTACCAGCAACGGGGGCTGGTACTCAGATCTGTCATCGGCCATGTCCGAGGTACATGGCCGGTGACAGATCGCGCTGCTGCAAATGCGCAAACTGCGCATGCCCGGGAGTACGCCATATGGCGCCCACCCGGAAATCTACAGCATTTTTACGGCCGCCAAACGGCTATTGGCCAGGCGGCTAATGGTTAAACATATTTGTAGGAGCAATGCCAGATATGGTCGCTAGGTGACGTCCCGTTTGTGTTTGTCTGCCAGCCAATGTCACTGTGTTTTTTGAATAGGTTTTTCACTGTATTTGTTGAGATTGTTGAACCAATAATGTTCTTGCCGTTTTTTTTTTTTTTTCTCCAAAAATTATGGGACAACTAATGCATTTCCTAATGAATGTTACAAAATCATACATCCTATTTTCAAATGTCAAACATTTTCAAACTTATATCTCAAATAATGTGACTGTCTATTTCTAATTTCCAAATATAATTATATATATAATATATCTTCATTCTCTTTAATCATGTAACTATTCTACATTCCTGCTCAAACTCTGTTATAGTGGCTTAATGGTTAGCACTCAGGGCTTGCAGCACTTGTCTCGAGTTTGCATGCTTTCTCTGTGCAGGTGTGTTTCTGCCAATACTCCAAAAATATGCTGTTAGGTTAATTGGGCCTAGTATATGTCTGAGTTTCTGGCCTTAGATTGTAAGCTCCTTGACATTACAGACTATTGTGAATGCCCAAAATATGGAAGTCAATTTCCAGGGTTCTGTCAGTGCCAGGAATATTGATCAATCAATTAAGATTTTGGCTACTGACTAGAAAGTGGAGAGGGAGTGAATCTTACCTGCATCCTGTTCTTCTGACAAGTTTGAAACTTTCAATTTTCCTTCTGTTTATATTTGATTGCAACTTTGTTTCTCTTCTCTTAAACCTCTCTCCTTATACAACTTGACCCCCTTCCCTGTCATCGCCTGTTTCATCTGCAAATCTATGTATCACCGCCCAAATCTTTTTATTTAACTGTTTACTGATCAAGTTAATGTGTTTCATTTCTTATCATCTACAGCTCAGATCTAGCATTATTTTAAGATTCCTAATTGTATCTCACCACTAGTCTGACTGAATTCACAATTCCTAGTCAGTTCCGTTCCCCTACCTATTAGGGCCAGTTCACACTACATGTGTTTCAGTTGTTTTCATCTGCATCCAAAACTCACAGAATGTAGGTTATATGGTTGTCAATGTCATAGTTCACATCAGTGCTTGCATTTCCAGTGTGTTGCAGGTGCTGCATAAAAAGTCGAACAGGCTGCATTGTTTATGCATAGAACTGTACTGGAACACACTAAAAATGCACATGTCCCTAATTAAATTGAAGAAAAAGAAGGGGGGAAAATGAACTGAAATGCATAAAAAAATGCACTGGAATGTGTCAAAAACACATCCAAAATGCACTGGAACACACTAAACATGCATCAAAAAAGTGCACGCAGAAACGCATCTGGAACACATCTAGACTGTGTTTCTATAGTGTGAACTGGCCCTTAGGACTGGTGCACACCATTTGTGGTACATAAACGCATGCAAGAGCACGCATTTTCCTGCACAGCAAAGAAATACAATGCCCTTTGCAGCTGTGCGCAGGTACCATGATGCAAACGTAATTGCACCTCCACATGTCTAGTAAACACAGATGCATTCACAGCCACCAAAACGCATGGCACCACACTACTGTGTGGTTAGGTGCAACACACTTTTAAAATAATATGCCTGCAGTATTTTTGCATGTTCTCACACATTAGGCAGCCCATTGAAATTAATTGGCTGAGGAAAAAAAAAGTAAAAAATGTCACATTCACACAGGTCCCGTGATATCTAACAGTGGCCCTGGGTGTATGCTTGTGTCTGTGCCACCTGTATAGTTGGGAAGAACAATAGCTTCTTCTATGGAATATCATGAACCTATGCTATGTACCTCAATGCATTTAGGAATTGGACACGTTTTCAACTGAAAATACGATTATTAGTAATGTTTCCCCTGAAGCAAGCATGAACTAACCCCTTAGTATTATAAAGCATCCCAAATTCTCATTTTCCAGAATGTACCCAATTATGCATAGGCCAGATAGGACCTCCCAGTGGCTATTCTATGGACAAGGTACACTTTTCTTTTTGCCTGATCTATGTTGAGCTGTATTAGTCAATATGTTACAATGTAAATCATAAACCTTTTTAGTGTCAGTGAAATTATTTAAAAAAACTCCCAA